GGGGGGCGGCACGCCCTGGCCGCCTCCGCCCACCCCAGCCCCACCCGCACCCGGGATTTCCCAGAAGTTTCCTGCTTGCAAAGGCCACGCCCCCTCCCCCCCACGACCCGGTTCGGCTCTGCCTGGGAGAGTGAGGATCGCCCAGGGTTGTGCTTGATGCCTCCTGGAAGTCTGAGCGGATCCGAGTCCTGCTGGACGCTCAGGTCGACCGTGGGGTCAGAACCGGACCTCCCTTTAGAGACGAGCCCTACCTGGGCTACCCCTGGACGCTGAGCTTCCTAGGCGGCAAGTGACCTGAGAATCGGCGTGGAAGTGCTTCGGATCTCCAAGGCTGTCCCGGAACCACCTGGCCCGGCGCACGGTGTCCTAGACCATCAGAGCCGAAGGGGTCTTCGCAATCACTAAGGAGGAAACAGGCCCAGAGGTGACGGATTTGACACAAGTGTACGCGGTTGGAGACAGTGACACGGGTTCCTCTCAACCTGTTCCATTCCATGTTGGCTGCCCTAGGGTCAGGGACACGAGGGGAAGGGACGTCAGAACCGCCCAGCAATGTTCTTCTCCCAGAATGTCCTGGGCCTAGGTCAGCGAGTCCTTATTGGCCTTGAATGGGTCATTTGACCCGGTGCCTGGAAGAACAGGATTACAAAGTGGTCCATGAGACTGAACTAGACTCAACTAAGAGCTGACAAACCTTGAGAAAAGCTTGCATGGAAAACATGCGGAAAGTGAAGCCTTATCCCAGGGTGATCTGTGGGGGGAGAGGATGGAGAGCACTTGTGGAGTTGGATCTCTGTGATGAGGTGAGCTTTTCAAGGACAGGACTCCAGGCGAGGAGTGGGCTCAGGTGTGAGAAAGCAGCAAACCCAGGAGAGGGGCCTGGCGTCACACCTGGAGGAGCAATTGGAAGGAAGAGGAGCATGGACGCCTGGGGAAGGCTGCGCTTTGGCTCAAGATGCCCCACTCTTGAATCTCCATCGGGCTTGGTGTGACCCAAGGCCCGATTCATGCCGTCTCCCTGTTCCCCCCCCAATGTTCAGTCCTCTGACAGGGGTTCATGTCAAATGCTCCTTACTGCTGCCACCCTGTTGGCTGTCCTGACCCTGACCGTGAGCTCATTGCTTAGTCAGGGATGGTTGAATGAATGAGCTAGTTGCCTAGAATGGCCAAGATTTCCCACGGCACTAGATCCTTGGAAATTCCCCATCTTGGAGAGTTTGTAAAATAGATCATGTCCTGATGCCCCCTTTTTTTTAATTTTGAGGCTGGAGTGCAGTGGCACACTCACGACCACCGCAACCTCAACCCATTGGGCTCCCGTGATCCTTCCACCTCAGCCTTCCAAGTAGCTGGAACTACAGACGCATGCCACACGTCCGGCTAGTTTTTGCAATTTATTGTAGAGATGAGGTCTTGCCAAGTTGCCCAGGCTGGTCTTGAGCCCCTGAGCTCAGACAATCTTCTCACCTCCACTTCCCAAAGTGCTGGAATGACAGGCTGAGCCACTACGCCTGGCCTGACGCCCTTTTTCATCTAGCCACCTTTGGTGTCAGGACCTCTTTCCTGCTGCTTTGGAAATGTATGGCTACCTACACGGCTACCTACACAGCAAACATATGGCTACCTACACGGCCACCACCACGCCACTGCCTCACACTGCCACCACTGCATACCGTCTGACCTTAGTCTCTGTGCAGCCTGCCCATCCACCCTCAGATCAGCAGTGGCACTGCTGTCATCATCATCGCGCCCGCCCCCCTTCCCCCCCACCCCACGAACCCAGCACCACAGATTTCTTTGCAATCTCACAAACATTCATAACAGCTCCTGGGTTTTGGCTCCTCATGAGAAAACTAGATGAGATGCAACCTAGCAACTATTCCAAAGCCAACTTTTTTTTTCTTTTGAGTTGGAGTCTCACTCCGTTGCCCATGCTGGAGTGCAGTGGCACAATTGTGGCCACTGCAGCCTTGATCTTCTGGGCTCAGGCAATCCTTCCGCCTCAGACTTACAAGTAGCTGGAACTACAGGCGTGCACCATCACGCCCAGCTGATTTTTCTTGGTTTATTGTAGAGACGAGGTCTTGCCAAGTTGCCCAGGCGGGTCTCGAACTCCTGGTCTCAGGAAATCCTCTCGCCTCGGCCTCCCAAAGTGCTGAGATTATAGGCATGAGCCACCACACCCGGCCCAAAGGCAACATCTTTTACTTGACATATGTTGTACAATACATTTTTGAACTTCCAGGAGCAGGAGAGGAGATGGGTGACAGTCAGGCCGTGGCAAGACAGCTGGAGTGGCTTTTCAGGCTGCCAGAGGCCCCCTGAAGGGAGAGGAGGGGGTGGAGAGCAGAGGAAAAAAGCCCACAGCAGCAGCTGGGACAATCTGGAGGGAAGCGGGTTGGCTTCCTGCCAGGAACAGAGCTGTGACCCTCGCTGATGACGTTTCTGAAGTCAGGGCTACGGGTACTTCGTCAGGGCTTCCTGGGTGCTGGTCCCCAGGCCTCGAACGCAGCTGCGAGTTTGCATTTCAGTGGGTTCCGGCATTTACTTTTCTCACCAACATGTCCCCCAGCCCTCGAGGTCACACTGGGCCACGGGACATCAGAGGCCGACCACTTGGAGCCACCTTGGAGATTTGTGGCGTCCATTCTCATGGCTTCTTGCCATTGCCCTGCTTGTGTGGAGCGACTGAGGCTCCCGTTTCTAGCCGCCTCTGGACGCTTCCTTCCACTGGGATGTGCTCCTCGCTTTAATTCATTGTGTCCACACGCAGGTCGCCTTTCCCCCTCCAGGCCTGCTCTCTTCCTCAGCCCCGTCCTGGCTCAAGCCCTGTGTCTCCCTCCACCTGGTCCCTATGACCTGGGCAGACACCAAGCAGTCACAGCCTTCCCTTCCTGGCCATGGCGCTGTCACCACCAGAGTCCAAGTCTGCCCCGTTCTGCAGTGCAGAGCTTGGGGGGGCTGTGGTGGAGACACAGGCACCCTGAGGTGTCATGGGACTTGCTCAGTCGCGGCGCTAGTGAAGGAGCGGGCCCAGGCTCCTGCTCGGACACCCTGTGCACCACTCTCCTCTGTCTGTTGCACTTCTGCTCACACACATGTAGTCCCGCCTCCCAAACAGTCATTCGAGCCTCTCCCTAATTTGCCCACAAGCTGCCTCTCTGACTTTCCGCCCGCTTCTTTCTGGCACAAAAAGGAGCTGATGTTTGTCGAGTGCTTGCCATTTGAGGAGCACTGTTCTGGAATGCTTCACATTTGTTTAGTGATCGTGGACCTGGGACGAAGCGTAGTATTGTTAGCCCTGTGTTACAGATGAGGAAACCGAGGCAGGCTTCTGCTCAAGCCTGAACTCTCCCTCCCTGGTCTCTGTCCTTCACTCCCCGACACAGTCAGGCTGTTTTTCTCGATGGCTCTCCTCCCCAGCCTAGCCGTGCACTCAGTGGGCCCTGCCTGTGGACTTGGGCCCCCCCCACCCCCCGGCAGGCTGAGCTGCTGCTAGTAGACGGCCTGAGTCTTGCATGTGGCTTTGCTGCCTGGGCATCCCCAGCGCCTGGCACCCAGCATCCCCCATGCCCTTCCTGTCCGGTGCCCCCGCTTCTCTCCCCAGAGCACTCACCACACGGCAGACCTTGGTCCAGAATGCCGCCCCGAGGCCAGGCAGTGACAGGCCAAGCTGAAGATCCAGGCATCTCCCAGTCAGCCCAAGGTCAGGTGACGTGAGGTGCCGCTAGGGAGGCCATTTGGCCTCCTCCCTGAGGACCCCACAGAGAGGTCAGCTCACCCGCCACCCACCCAGCACAGCCTGGCCTCCCCCGAGGCTGGCCCGGACCCTATTTCCTCTGGTCCTCGAAGAAGGAGCCTTTCTCTCCTCGCCTCGTCCCTCCATTGCTTGATGGACAGCGCATCCCATTTCCAGACTCCTTCTTTCCCGTCTTCTCTGGACACACTGCCTGCCTCAGTGAGTCCCCTTCCTCTCCCTCCCTGGCCAGGAGCCCACTTTCCTCCTCCTCCCAAGTCACTGACCCGGGTGTTTGGAGTATGATCTCCGCCTCACCGATGTCTTGCTGTGTTACCTTGGGCAGACGGTCTCCCACTCTGGGCCTCAGTTTCCGCATCGCTGGAAGGAGGCGACTGGACTGAATGGTGGGCGAGTTCGTTCTGCCCTGTCTGGCCGACCCCTCCTGGCTCCCCTCCCCCTCCCTGGGGAGGTCTGCCCCTGCACCAGGAGAGCTGTGGCCCTGGCACCCTTCCTGCTGAAGGGACCAGCCCTGAGCCTCCCCCCAGCCTTGGCCTGGCTCCACGTGGCCGTCTGGGAGGCTGGCCCCAAGCCCGGCGGCAATCCACATTTCTGTTTTTCCTTTTTTTTCCCTCTCTTTCCCGGAGTTAACAAGAAGCAGATGTGGCGCACGATGGTTGGAGCAGGAGGAAGGGGGAGGCCTGACCGCCACCAGCCAGACAGGGGAGGAGGGGAGGGAGAGGCCGCCAGCCCCACAGCCACCCGTGCCTCTGAACGGCCAGGCAAAGCTCTGGCATCAGTGTCCAGTCACCGGGGAGGAGGACAGGGAGACCAGAAGGGCTGCCCGGGGCAGGGGCTGGGGACGCAGTACTTGGGAGGGGGCAGGGACCGGGCGCAGGAGGCCGGGGCATGAGAACAGACTCCCCTCGGAAGGGGAGGAGAGGAGAGGAGAGGAGAGGAGAGCGGAAGGAGCCTGAGAAGGGAAGAGGAGGGGAGAGGGTCGCCTGCAGCCAGGGGGCGGCGTGTGGCTGGGGGCTGCCAGCAGGAAGCAGACGGCCGCGCACGCTGTCCTGGGGAACGTGTCCCGGCGGCCCAGGCACCAGCGCCCGGCGGGATGTGTCTCTGAGGGCCACCACCAGCGCCACCATGGCCCCCGCCACCCTCTGGAGCTGCTACATCTGCTGCCTGCTGGCTGCGGCCGCAGGGGCCGCTAACTACCCACCTCGGGGCTACAGCCTTTACACAGGGGGCGGCGGGACGCTCAGCCCCGGGGGGCCCCAGGCTCAGAGCGCGCCCCGGCCGGCCAGCCGCCACAGGTAGGATCTGGGTTCCAGCGGAGGGCTGGCGGGAAGGGCAAGGAGAAGGAGGGCGCTGGCCGCCGTGCAGGGAAAGGCTGAGGAGCCCTTGGCCAGGTGCTGCTCCCACGCCCTCCCGGCGGGGCCTCCCTAGGCCCTGAGTGGTGCCTGGTGGGCAGCCTGGGCCCAGCTCCCACGCCCTCGGGGGCCTGCCAGTGGAGGCCCAGGGCGCCCCTCCCGCGGGCCAGGCCTTCTTGCTGCACGCATCTGACCCTTGGGCTGGCCCTCCCCGGGGCTTCTCAGCCCCTCAGCGTCCCCGTTCGGAGCCCACTCCTGCCCTGCTCCCTGCGGCCACACACAGATCAGAGGCGCCAGGGGAGTGGGGCCCAGAGTGGGATCACAGGCCGGGGGCGCTCGGGGCGCATCCACGGCGGTCCCCCGCCTAGCCCTGAGCTGGACCGCACCCTGCCCATCCTCTCCTGGAGGTGTGGGTGGGAGCCAGGACGCGGGGGGCACCTACGGGACCTGGCCGGTTCACCAGGGTGGGGGCTGAGGCCAGAAGGTGGACAAAGGGCCGTGTGCATTCAGGGGCTCCCGGGACCCTGCAGCGTGAGGACTGACTGTGCACTCCCACCTTGAAGCGTCTTGATCTGCCTCGCCACACGGGAGGCCCTGTCAGGCTCTCGCCAGTCCCGGGGGCCTGCGTCCCGCCCCCTCAGCCCCTTGGCTGGCCCCAGGGCCCCTCCGGGCCTGCCACGGAGCCCTGGGCCCAGGTGTGCTGTGTCCACAGGAACTGGTGTGCCTACGCGGTGACCCGGACGGTGAGCTGTGTCCTCGAGGATGGAGTGGAGACCTTCATCAAGCCAGACTACCAGCCCTGCGGCTGGGGCCAGCCTCAGTGTCCCCGAAGCATCATGTGCGTCCCAGGGCCAGGAGTGGGTGCGGGGGGAGCCGGACGCGGGCAGAAGGTGGGCAGCTTGGAACTTTGTCCAAAGTGGGAGGGGCAGAGTCCCCTGGAAGAGCTGCCGGACTTACCCCCGGCCAGCCCCCCTTGCCTCCCTGGGATGGGCCATCCTCAGGACAGGAGCTCTGGCTCCAGCACAGGCCTGGGGAGAGCAGGCTCTCGGCCCCTGGCCAGAGCGACACAGCTGTCAGCTGAGCAGGCCACATGCCAGTGCTGGGGACGCGGCAGAGGCCCGGCCAGCCCCCAGCCCCTGTCCCTGGGGATGGGCCAGAGCACAGCGGCTGCTCTGCCTCCCAGGTACCGCAGCTTCCTCCGCCCTCGCTATCGTGTGGCCTACAAGACAGTGACCGACATGGAGTGGAGGTGCTGCCAGGGCTATGGGGGCGATGACTGCAGGGAGGGGCCTGCCCCGGCGCTGGGCCCCGCCCCCTCTACACCGCGGCCCCCGCCCCGGCCCGCCCGCCCCAACCTCTCTGGCTCCAGTGCCGGCAGCCACCTCAGTGGGCTGGGGGGGGAAGGTGAGTGTGGGACCGTGGGGGGAGACACGGGGGCGATGTGCCTGGCCACTGGGGAGGGACAGAGGGAGTCGGTGAGGCCCCTGTGGAGTGAGGATGGGGGTGACATGGGAGGAGATGTGGGCAAGGCCACTGGGGAGGGACACAGGGAGTAGGTGAGGCCCTGAGGTTCCCTGAGTGGGGGGCAGAGAGGATGGAGGGAGAGGGAGAAGGCCAAGGGAGAACGGGCTCACACACGCCCACACATGGCCAACACCCTTCCCAGGGGCAGCAGTAGCAAGAGAACAGGCATTCCTCTGAGAACCCTGGTCCCTGGTCCTAGCATGTACTGCCTTGACTGTGGGTCCCTCACCCCGCGGCCTCTGGAGGCTGCAGGTCCCAGAGTGCCGCCGTCCTGTGGCCGGGCTCCCCTGTGAGAGTTGCACCGGATGTGCCTGTCCCTGCCCGCGAGATAACTGTGGACAGTTGGGAAACAGGAACTTCCTTGTGCCTCGGCCTCTCGTCTGTCCCTGCCGGAGTGCAGGGATGTGCTGCCCTGGGGCCACTGCTGTGCTGGCCAGGGCCTCCCCACACTCCTTTCGACTGTCCTGTGATGGGGACAGGAAGTGTCCTGCTGCCTTCGCAGATGAGGGCAGCGTTTCCAAGCGGTTAAGAGGCACAGGGATGGGTGGACAGGGCATGTCCTGGTGGCCCCACACGATCCGGGCTTGAAACTCAGCCCGCCACCGCAAACTGGTCGCCACAGCTGGTGACCTCCCATTGCGGGTCCTGTTTTCCAGTCCACACAGCAGGAAGAACTGCTGGTGTTTGCCCAGGGTAGTTGTTGTGAGGGCAGAGCCACTGTTCAGATTTAGCCTGTGGAGGCTCAGCCTGTCGGCCCAGCACTTTGGGAGGCCAAGGCAGGATCACCCGGGCAATACAGCAAGACCTCGTCTCTACCAAGAATCAAGATGTTAGCCGGGTGTGATGGCATGTGCCTGTAATTCTAGTCACTCTGGAGTCTGAGGTGGAAGGATTGCCTGAGTCCAGGAAGTTAAGGCTGCGGTGAGCGTACTACTGTACGCCAGGCTGGGCAACAGAGTGAGACCTAAATAAAAAGAAAAGGCTGGGCGCGGTGGCTTCACAGAGTGAAACCTTGACTCAAAAAAGAAAAAAAAAAAAGACTGGGCTCGGCTCAGCCTGTCATCCCAGCACTTTGGGAGGCCGAGGCAAATGGATTGCCTGAGCCCGAGGGTTTGAGACCAGCCTGGGCAACTTGGTGAGACCTCGTCTCTACATCAAAAATTAGCCGGACATGGTGGCGCACACCTGTAGTTCCAGCTACTTGGAAGGCTGAGGCGGAAGGATCGCTGGAGCCCAGCAGGTTGTTGCTGGGGTGGCCATGAGCATACCACTGCACTCCCGCCTGGGCGACAGAGTGAGACTCCAACTCAAAAAAAAAAACAAAAACGTGGCCTAGAGGCATTCTGTGAGCAGAGTTTCCTGTCTCCTTTTCTTGCTGAACCCCCAGCTCCTGCCCTGTGGGAACCGGGCAGAGGGAGCCGGGGCAGGGTCCTGAGCGTGCAGCCAGTCCTTTGCCCTCCGCTCTCTGCAGGTCCAGGGGAATCAGAGAAGGTGCTGCAGCTGGAGGAGCAGGTGCAGAGGCTGGCGAAGGAGGTGCAGGGCCTCCAGGGGGTCCTGCAGGGCCTG